CCATCAGTTACTTCATCGAATGCTACTGTCAGTCCATCTAATAGTTCATCGGGTGCTACCGTCACTCCATTAGTTAGTTCAATGGATGCTAGCCCATCAGTTACTTCATCAGATGCTACCGTTAGCCCATCAGTTACTTCATCGAATGCTACTGTCAGTCCATCTAATAGTTCATCGGGTGCTACCGTCACTCCATTAGTTAGTTCAATGGATGCTAGTCCATCAGTTACTTCATCAGATGCTACCGTCACTCCATCAGTTACTTCATCGAATGCTACTGTCAGCCCATCTAATAGTTCATCAGGTGCTACCGTCACTCCATCAGTTAGTTCAATGGATGCTAGCCCATCAGTTACTTCATCAGATGCTACCATTAGTCCATCTGTTACTTCATCGAATGCTACTGTTAGTCCATCTAATAGTTCATCGGGTGCTACCGTCACTCCATTAGTTAGTTCAACAGATGCTAGTCCATCAGTTACTTCATCAGATGCTACCGTTAGCCCATCAGTTACTTCATCGAATGCTACTGTTAGTCCATCTAATAGTTCATCGGGTGCTACTGTCACTCCATCAGTCAGTTCAATGGTTGCTACTAGTTCATCAGTTGCTACCATCAGCCCATCAATAGTTTCTCCATCACCTGAAGCAGTCATGAGCTCTTTAGATGATATTTTCTTCAGTTCAGTGGATTTGGATGCTACATCTTCAGTCGCTACACTGGATCTCATTGCTTCTTCTTCTCCAGTTATTTCTGCCATGACAAGCTCTTCATTTATCAGCATCACTGATGTCAAGTTTACAGCAACACAGACTGATTCTACATCTACAATCCATTCATTTTCTATTGGTATTCCATCAACATCCATCAGCATAACCAGCAACATCAGTAGTACAGTATTTGATGTTTCTTCTATAGTGTCTAGTCTCGTTATTTCAGTTACTGATTTAAGTTCAACATCACTTGATGTCACCAGCAGTTATCTTACAACAAGACCTGATGTCACCAGTACTTCTCTTGCTACAACACTTAATGTTACCAGTACTTCTCTTGCTACAACACTTAATGTTACCAGTACTTCTCTTGCTACAACACTTAATGTTACCAGTACTTCTCCTGCTACAACACTTAATGTTACCAGTACTTCTCCTGCTACAACACTTGATGTTACCAGTACTTCTCTTGCTACAACACTTAATGTTACCAGTACTTCTCCTGCTACAACGCTTAATGTTACCAGTACTTCTCTTGCTACAACACTTAATGTTACCAGTACTTCTCCTGCTACAACGCTTAATGTTACCAGTACTTCTCTTGCTACAACACTTAATATCACCAGTACTTCTCTTGCTACAACACTTGATGTTACCAGTAGCAG